GTCCTTCTAACAACTCCTTTGATCGCAACTCGTAACTTTGAGAATTGATTCTTTAAATGCGCTTACCATACGAGCAAATGGGTACTATACTGAGATTCCTCGGTTTATCACTTTTAATAAAACTGAATCATTAAAACTATTCTATTCACTAAGAAGGTAATACTACTATTCAAAAAAGCTAATATACCCTAGTGTTAGTTTATTGTTGTTCGAACTTTTCATATGGAAAATTTAATTTTTATTGAGATAAAATAGCGGTTTCTTTTTAAAGAAATGTACTAATATTTCAATAAATGTTATGTTTGTTCGTACTTACTCAGCAGAAGTCAATGAAGCCAACGTAAGAATAGCGAGGCAGAACAACGGAGATGACATTTTCCCTGATGCCGCCCGGCGAGAAAAGAGAAGAAGGTGGCGTTGTATCCAAATTCTATAACTACGTTTTGGTTAAATAAGAGTCGCTCTGTTGACATCGTTTCTCAGGACAGACATGATCTTTCACGCAGGTTTTAAAACACGTAGCCCGGCTGCTTAAACAAGAAGAAAAATAGAGCATTGACCTTCTAGACTTGTTTTGCTAAAACAAAACCTACGTGAAGCAGATGTTCACACGGTGACAGGTAAATTGGAGGGAATGTGCGAGAGAAACAAATATCTTAACAGTTATTTTGAATAAATATTGGTATCAGCTTCCCAGTCGAGTTACGTTGACAAATATATAAAATAAACTGACTTTACCATGGTCGCGAAATCTACATTAAAGTTGTAGATTGCCTTCAATCAACCTAGCAGGCCAATTAAACATTTGGAATATTAGTCAACGTGGCAATTTACTTCGCTACTCCATAACGAGGCTTAAAAGGTCAACTTGCAAAATTAGCAAGTTCGTGTCTCTGGAGTTTCTATATTTGAAAGATTGTTTAGATTTAAACTGAAGAGATAGAGGGAAACAGCCACCGTCAAAGTCATAACAAATAAAACAGTCAAACGGAGTTTTTCTTTGTTTGAAAACTTGATGGATTTTTCAGAAATGGGTTATTTGAATGCAGTTATCCCCGGGGGGTGGGGAGGTGTACTCCTGGAAACTCTTGGTGGAGTGAATCGCCCGATTCTACAAATTCTCACCCCCTTTCAGACCAAACATTGTCATTTTCGACACCCTTTTCCAGACCTTGTCGTTTTGTTTTCAGACCTGGAGGATCTCCGAGATCACAAAACACACTATGTCTACATAGGCAGAAATTCTGACTGTTAAATTAGAGCGGCATCAAAAAGATTTCTTAAAATCCACTTCGAATTTGCATATTACTCTTTCATTTCTTCTGGCAATTCCCTGATGAGAAATGATATCCGATTCCAGACCCGAAATGGGCAAAGTCTTCACCCGTTTTCAGATCGAAACGGCGCAAAAACCATACCCTTCGGGGTGGTATATATATATAGCTATCTATGTGGCTTATATAAGGGAGTACTCCCCCGGGCAGTTTTAACAGCTGAAATGATGTTTATTCATATGATAAGATGATACAAGCACTTGCCAAAGATGTCCACAATTAAGTCCTTTTGGGTAAACGCGCGTTGTTAAAAATGTAGTCATTTTGAATTAAATATTCAAATTTTAATTTCAAACGGGCAAAATTAATCTCAAAACGTCCATAAAATATGCAGGTTTAAAAAGCTGAATCACAAGAATATCTCAAACATTTGATTTTCGATTTAATTTTTCCCTTATGCACTTTTGTCGCGACCATACTTTAACTATTTTCCTTTGGGGAAAATACTTAACCAAGGTATTAAATACTTAATTATAATGATAACATAAAAAATGAGCGGGGTGAGTGAGAAAGAGAGAAAGACGAAAAAGAAAGTTAAATATAAATCACACTGAAAGTATGAGTCATATAAAGCGCAAAGCTTCTTTGAAAACGAAAAAAAGGCCTGTTTTTCAAACTAACTGAGTGTTATCAAACTGGAACGAATATCNAACATTTGATTTTCGATTTAATTTTTCCCTTATGCACTTTTGTCGCGACCATACTTTAACTATTTTCCTTTGGGGAAAATACTTAACCAAGGTATTAAATACTTAATTATAATGATAACATAAAAAATGAGGGGGGTGAGTGAGAAAGAGAGAAAGACGAAAAAGAAAGTTAAATATAAATCATACTGAAAGTATGAGTCATATAAAGCGCAAAGCGTCTTTTAAAACGAAAAAAAGGCCTGTTTTTCAAACTAACTGAGTGTTATCAAACTGGAACGAATATCAGGTTACGTTTATTGTGTGGGAGAACTGGGATGGGAGGACGGGACAATAGGTGGCGGGTAGGCGGAAGGGACAGAGGGAAGTGGGAACGACCAAGCGGCTGCAATAGCTGTGATTCCAAAATCGCGTTCGGTATGGAGGGGAAGCCAGATAGTTCCATCAAATGTGGGGTTGCATCAGGAAGATCTGCGGATAATGGACAACATTTGGACACATCTTGGTGCAGTAAAAATGAGCTGATATTAAAGCTGTACACGACATTTACAGACACCAGACTGCAGCCCGCTGGCCTCAGATTGTTGGCAATGGCTGTAAATTGGATGATAGTAAAAATATTCTTATAAAGTTGACGTCATCTCATTTCGCTATATTAAAAATTTATTCTTTGCTACGAGGCTTGAAGGAATAAAACAAACCAAATGAGTTATTCATTGCTGAGTTTCAAGATGATTGCTTTTGTTTTATTCCTTAAGCTTCGGAGCCAAGTATAAATTTTCATATATCGAAATTGGTCTATTCATCGAATATGCTTCACTCATTTTTATAGTTTGTACAGAAAAGGAACTTAATCAACATCTTATGACCCCAAACTACAATGCTACTCAATTTAACATTTTTCATCATACCGGTGTTTTGGCCTCAGAAGGCCTTGGAGGCCAATGATAGGAGGCTGTGGAGCAAGGGATGTCACAGTGGTGAGAGCGCTCGCCTCCCACCAATGTGGCCAGGGTTCAAATCCCGGCGTCGGCGCCATATGTGGGTTGAGTTTGTTGTTATTTTTCTCCTTTGCCCCGAGAGGTTTTTCGCCGGGTACTCCAGTTTTCCCCTCTCCTCCAAAAACCAACATTTCCAAATTCCAATTGGGCTAGGAATCAAGTAGACGAAGAACCATTTTGTGGATGTGCTACCTTCAAATCATTATTTTATTTATTATTTTTTTTTATGATACGATAACGGAACGTGCACAAAATAATGTACCCAAAACGTCAATCTTTGAACGATTTTGAAGTTATTTAGCTTTAGATAGTAAAGGGTGCCTCAAAAGAAAGAAAGAGAAAAAATGAGCAAAATCTTAATTCTGCAGCTTGTTAAAGCGATTTATGACTTTGAAATGGTTTTGGTAAGTGTTTGTTATTTGTTTTATCAGCCAATGGATGAATGATCAAAACATGGCCTCTTCGTTTTCCCGCCAAAGAAAACCCTAATATTGAGCAGGCATTGTTTCATTGGCCAATTGTGTTGCAGCACGACGTCAAAGCCATGCCAGTATCGGTTGATTTCTAGAAAGTTCTCGGACATCAAGTAAAACCACTAGGGAAGGCTTCATTGCATAAGTTGTTCCACAGTTTCACAATATGGACAAAATATGAAGCTCGCAAAGTGTTGGTCTTACAGGCCGGAAAAGTAAGAAGTGAAGAAGTAAGAAAAAAGATTGGAAAAGTAAGAAGCTTGAAGTACCAAAGGCCTCTCAATGTATTTTTAAGAAGCACTGCAAAATTGCAGCTTTTTGCTTCTTAAAAAAGAAGATATTGAGAGAATTACATATTCTGAAAACGGCCTGAAACAAAATATTGCATTTCAAGTATCCTCGTTAATTTAAAGTAGGTTTCGATGTTGGCTTACTATTTCCTAAACAGGTTCGTCAAACCTTCAAATGTTTAGCAGTTATGGCTAGTTATATTACAATATAGACTGTTCTGTTTACAAATGTTTCCTGTTATATAGTTGCTTGATGAACTCATTGGATAGCTTCTGTGTTAATGAGGGATTTTACCGACCAGTATTGAATCAAAATTACGGAAAAGCCCTTAGAATAAACGGCTGTAAGTTGAGTTGCACAAGAGAAGAAACTAGGAGTAGTCAAAGTACCCCACACACTACCTCTTACTTACAATGCATTTGCCATTTGTTCTGCTTGGCCTTATCAGTGCTTCGTCTATTAACGGGGCCACAAGTTTGCCTGTGGCAAATAACGGTCAAACGCCTCGATGTGACAATACGCCGGTGAATAATTGCAACTGCCAATGCACCATAAATCAGGATTCGCGGGCTATAAGGGCCTTAGAAGCAAAGATGGAGGGTCTTATTGAAATGACCAACAATGCCTCTGGCAATAGAGATTCCATTGGGTCTTTAGAGGCAAAAGTGGAGAATCTTATTACACTAAACAACAGTACTCCTTCTGGCACTGGCGCTGCCGCAAAGTCGCTAGAAAGAAAGATTGAGAGTATGGTTGAACTGAACAACAATACTTCTAGTACAATGAAGTCCTTAGAATCAAAAGTACAAAGTCTTGTTGGTCTGATAAACAAAACCTCTGGCGTCAGCGATAGCATGAAGGCCTTGGAGGCAAAGGTGGAGAGTCTAATTGCACTGAACAAAAAACCCTCTAACGTCAGCGATGCCATGAAGTCATTAGAGGCAAAGGTGGAGAGTCTTATTGCACTGAACAACAAAACCTCTAGCGTCATCGATGCAATGAAGTCCTTAGAATCAAATGTACAGAGTCTCATTGCACTGAACAACAAAACATCTGGCTTCAGCGATGCCATGAAGTCGTTAGAGGAAAAGGTGGACAGTCTTATCGCACTAATCAACAATACTTCCTCCCCAGTTCCACAACCGGTTCCAAACCCAACAGGTATTCTTAAATAAAATCTACCAATGTTGATTATTAATTTTACTTCCTTTTGATACTCATGTAAATAAATGAACTANGGCCTTAGAAGCAAAGATGGAGGGTCTTATTGAAATGACCAACAATGCCTCTGGCAATAGAGATTCCATTGGGTCTTTAGAGGCAAAAGTGGAGAATCTTATTACACTAAACAACAGTACTCCTTCTGGCACTGGCGCTGCCGCAAAGTCGCTAGAAAGAAAGATTGAGAGTATGGTTGAACTGAACAACAATACTTCTAGTACAATGAAGTCCTTAGAATCAAAAGTACAAAGTCTTGTTGGTCTGATAAACAAAACCTCTGGCGTCAGCGATAGCATGAAGGCCTTGGAGGCAAAGGTGGAGAGTCTAATTGCACTGAACAAAAAACCCTCTAACGTCAGCGATGCCATGAAGTCATTAGAGGCAAAGGTGGAGAGTCTTATTGCACTGAACAACAAAACCTCTAGCGTCATCGATGCAATGAAGTCCTTAGAATCAAATGTACAGAGTCTCATTGCACTGAACAACAAAACATCTGGCTTCAGCGATGCCATGAAGTCGTTAGAGGAAAAGGTGGACAGTCTTATCGCACTAATCAACAATACTTCCTCCCCAGTTCCACAACCGGTTCCAAACCCAACAGGTATTCTTAAATAAAATCTACCAATGTTGATTATTAATTTTACTTCCTTTTGATACTCATGTAAATAAATGAACTATTTTTATATTTTTGGATATGGTCACGTCAGCCGTTTCTGTCGTCTCTTCTTGTAAGGAACAGTACGAAAAAGACAAGTAAGTTATATTTTGGTTTCATTTGTTAGTTAAGATGGAAACTTTTCCTACTATAGATTTTTATTGTTCGATGACAAATATCCTTATTCCATCCTTATTTCATGTCGTTGTTGCAAACTTCCTGACTGAGGGTCAGTAGTAGGTTTGAACGATTTGTTCTAAAACCAATTTACATCAGTGGGTCTTAAAAATTCCGTACAATTTAGCGAGGTGGATGCTGGGTTCTATGTTTCTCTAACATTACCAAAGATTAATTCCTGATAATAGTTAATTAGTTAACACTTAGAGTCAATATTTTAAAACAGTTTATTGAACACAGCCTTTATTAACTACTCCCCGCCCGCAATATCATATCCTCGAGACAGCGATATAAAAAGCAGATTAGTGCTCTGCGATTCTATGTTAAACGATTTTTTGCGCCTTATATTTTCATTTGTTTCCAAGTTTGTTTATTTACGTATTTCATGTCGTGACTTACGCAGTGAATTCGAAGGCTGGAGAACTGTTGCATAGTACATAAGAAATCAAACTCAACTCAATATTCATAAAAGGCTTCATTCAAGTGTAACCGTCCTTAATTAATTGAATTAACTTAATAAGGAATATTCCCTCAGATCCTATTCCTTGGCGAGTTTGGGGGCTTAGGTAATCTTCAATGCTCATGCCTACCCTTGAAGAATGAGTTTGAATGAGTTTGGGTGATGAATAGTAGTATATTCTGTCAGCTTAAGAGTACCTTGCCAACACTAACTTTACTTCGTTTTTTTTCCTCTCTGGTGGTTGAAAAGCCTTTTTTTATCTCTATCTAAGGCTGCTTACAGGCTTTTAAGGCCTTATTTTTTTCCAAAAGCTTTTCAAATGACAATCCATCATAGTTGTTACTGGTCGTGGTGGTGGTGGTAAGTGGGTAGGGACCCGCCGGTTGCAACTACTTTACCCAACAAGATAACCGAATGAATTTGTATATAATTACCTCCAAAAGGTTTATTGCCTTTCATTTAACATGAACTTTGTCAAACAGTTTCTCAGTTCACATATTGGACTCATAGCTACGGGTTTATTAAGGACAAATGACAGTGTACCCTCTGAAACCTACACCTCCTCCTCCTACCTGCGACCGGAATTTCTGTCTGCGAGTGAAGGTTATAAGTACTAGATAGTTACTTCTGTATTGGTAGCTGTTGTGACAGACGTTGCCACCAACATCTAGATGGTACCTTGAAATAAAGGTGCGAAATTGTACAATCATGAGTGTCTCAAATTGCCCTAAACATGGAATTCGATTAAATATCGCCCTATGCTAGGAATCTATGACAGTTTTGGACTCCGGAGTTCCAAGCAGTGGATTCCGGATTGCAGGTACTGGATTCAGGATTCTTTGTCAATGTCAATTAGATTGGATTCCAGTCGTTAGTGGGGGATTTGGGATCCCTTCAGCTGAGTTCCGGATTCCACCAGAAAAAATTTCCCAGACTCTGGATTTCCCAGGCACAAATTTTCCGGATCACGGAATCCGGATTCCCTTACGTGTGTCAATAAATAGCAATTCCCGCTTGTCATTATCAGGAACTCCTTGCCTCGACACAGACCTTTTAATATTATACACTTAATGTGAGATCCCGAGGGAAACAGTTAGTTTTGTTTTCCCGAGAGTCCTGATGTTTCCCGAGACGCTTCGTGTTTGTGTTGTTATGTTCATTCACGAAAAAGAAAACTGGCCGTGTTTTTCTCGCCTTCTGTCACGCCACTTTCCACCATGCTTTGATCACGTGCTGTAATGTATCCCAAGCGGGGTACATTGCTTAATGCATCACGATCGAGATACTTTTGATTTTAGTCAAGGCCAAATGACCAAGAATCAACCAATGGCAGTCCCTGTTTAGTTGAGTGAAAGTCTAGGAATATAACAATACAATTTGTTTTGCAGAGGACCTTCCGCTTCTCTTCTCCACTTTGGAGTGACAGAAATACATACAACATTGCAGGCGGAATGACTGGTTTTGACAATCAAGAAACCAAACTTCCAACCTACTGGAGCACAAATTTTTCCAAGATCTGTCTCGGAATGAAGATCGGCAGTCAGACTAGGTTCGTTGCTCTTAACCAGACTGCTACCTCTCTTCACGCCCTCATCTCCGACGGAGCGTTCCGTACAAGCGATCTGGGTCGTGAGCGCTGGAAGATGCTGATTGGTCCTCAGGGCTCCTTGCAGCAAAACTGCAATAGAGAAGGGTTTAATGCAGTTTGCAGTGGAACTAGTAATCCTTCGAAAGCAAGAATCGGTATCCTTGGAAACAACAAAAACGACTGTGTTAGCTGTGATTCTAGAATCGGATTTGGCATGAAAGGGGAGCCAGATAGTTCCATCAGATGTGGAGTTGCAGCACGAAACTATGCGGATAATGGCGAAAAGTACGTTAATGCATTTGGATACATCTTAGTGCAATAGAAATGAGCCAGTACTGCGATTTATGAGACTGCAGACAACAGATTGCAGATAGGGCCTGTAAATTGACTGACACTAAAATAACTCCTAACAAAGATGGCGTCATCAGCAACATTAACTAGATCCCCGGCTTCTAAGAAAAAGCTCTCTCTGGATATGTCAACCTATCCAGTAATTTCACAAATTTAGGGGTTCAGGACGTCATCTCTTCGCTTCTCTATTGCGAGGAATCATTGCGCATCGAGAACTTGCTGCTGCTCCTAAACTAGTATAGGGACCCCCAGATTTCATTTCAAAAGTTAAGTTTCTATAACATGAACTACCAATCAGTAAAGTTTGACAAAAATCCTACTGCAGGTTCTACTTCAGAGGAATAATCGTAAATTTAGACTTATTACACATGGGAACGAGGGGGTAGCCGGTTTTATGCTAAGAATTCAGGTTGTCATATATCAGCTCATATTTGAGATATTGGAAGAAAATTTTCAGCGCTTAAATCCGCTTGCAAAGTTCATTTAAATACGGTATAAACATGGGGAGATTTAAAAGTTTAAAATGTGACCTAGTAATTTGACATTTGGTATTAACTTCTATGCCAATCTAATTGGCCTGAGGTTTCATATTAACAGCCAACTTTTGCCAGAAAAATACATACATACATAACAGAATTAGGCGTATCATTTTTCTGGCGAGGAAGCTCAATTTGAGACTGTGAATGTGGGGCTTATCGATCACTATGAACTCCCTCCCTAACTAATGACTATAAATAAAGATAAACTTTTCCATTTGAAACATGTCAGAGAGAATTTAAGCCTCTCACGCAGACGGCAGGAACGCGTGACGAACCCCTAAGAACGTCTGCTTGGGAGGCTAGGAGAATTTCAATATTTTGTAACTTTTTAAAAATATGTAGCTTCGGTATAAGCATCAAGATAGCTTTTTGGAAGTAGTTCTAATACAAATACACCTAAATGCAATACAGCCATAACACCGTCATGGATGACTGAAAAAACAAAACAAAACAAAACAAAAGAATAAAAGGATCGAAAAAACGTACCAAGAACAAATTTGCCATAATCGCTACATTCAGGGATCTGGGGTGTTTACCATTGACACAAACCACCCCTGTGAAAATCTTGTGCATGAACGTGAACTATTAAATTTAACATGGGGGTGGGGAGAACGACCCGCTTCTGAGTGGAACAAAATCAAGTGAGCAGACTAAAAAGAGTAGAAAAATTGCATCGCTGCAATTAGATCACAGCTCACGTTTCCTGAAGCTTCCCATACAAATTGGCGCGAACCATTTGATCTTCAAACCGGAATTTCCGGTTTTTGCTCATAAAAAGGTAAGTACTCCTAAGTCTGGCTAAAGGACAAAGCTCAAGAGGTCCTTCATTCTCGTCCCCAGAGCCACTCGGTTTAATTTGCAACGAACCAGTGGCTCCGGTGACCAAGAAACGACGGGCTCTGGGGACGAGAATGGAGGTCCTTGCAATGGAGAATCCGTTTGGTATAAGATTGCTTCTGCGGAAATGCGGGATTGGCGCTGGGGATCAAGACCGAGAGCGAAGAAAATAGGGTCGCAAGTTTCACTGGGTGATAATAATATGCCAAATTTGCACACAAGTAAACTATCAAGTAATTCAGACGTTACTTCAAATCCATACAAATTGTGATGTATTTGTCATTTGTTCAGCTTGGCCTGATGATTGTGTCGTTTTCCGTTAATGACGCCACTTATTCGTCGATGAACGCAAGTAACAGTCTGCAAAAACCTCGCCTTAACAAGACGCCGGTTAATAATTGCAACTGCCATTGCACTGTAAATCAAAATTCGCGTATGAGGTCCTTAGAAGCAAAAGTGGAAAGACTTGTTGCGCTTATCAACAGTACTTCAGGCGTCAGCTATGCCATAAAGTCCTTAGAAGCAAAGGTAGAAAGCCTTATAGGACTAAACAACAGTTCTTCTAGCGTCAGTGATGCTGTAAAATCCCTAGAAGCAAAGATGGAGAGTCTTATTGGAGTGATCAATAGTACTTCTTCTTTCATTCCACAAATGACTCCACAACCTACAGGTAAACAAGATGAAAATTATTAATGCTGAATCATAAGTTTACATACTGTGATCTGCATGCATATCAACAACAATTATTTTCATTTTTTCGGTTATAGTCACAGCAGCCGCTTTTGTCTCTTCTTGCAAGGAACAATTCCAGAAAGACACGTAAGGAACTTAATCGTTTAATTTCTAGTTTTATACTACTTCATGAGAAATTTCTGCAATTTGATTGGTTTAGAGCAGTGGTATTTCAGCTTAATTTGAAATACCTACATGTGGAAATTACAAACTTTTTGTGGGTAGTAGTGTAAACAAGTAATAGCATGACTTGTACGTGATATTTGGAATAAATACCACTCGTGATATTTCAAAATTGTCTCAAATTTCACTCGCCTAATGGCTCGTGAAATTATGTATAACAATTTCGAAATATCACTTGTGGTATTTATGCCAAATATCACTACAAATCATGCTATTACCTATACAAAAAAGCCTTCGTCTTGTGTATAAATTTGTTTTTGGGAAATGAAAATAAATGCTTCGTATATACGGAAAATATCCTTATCGTAATCTTATATTTACGCTTTCTGGGCTTAAAGCATTTACTGAATCAAGCCGCCCTGCCTTAAGTTTAAAGATTCCTACCGTTGCACTGTTGAAATCGGCTTAATATCTCGACTTTTTTCGCGCGGCTTTAAAAATGTTTGAGTTAACAACTAAAGTAAAATGTTATGCATTTAGAGCCTAGGTGCTAGATTCCTGGTATGTTAATATCAAGACTACAGTCCTTTCCAGAAGATGTCGAAGACTTTGAGGCACCATAACCACACAATTATATACAGCTCGAGCTATATTTAAAAAAAAATACAGAAGAAAAAAGTACAAAACAGGCTAATTTCTCAAAACTAAATAACTAATTCGCGTGAACACAACAGTATCTTTCACAAAGTTGCTGTCTGTAAAGTTTTCCGGGTGGATATCATTGCCATCAATGCTAATCTTAGTCTTCCATTTTCCCTTTAAGAACATATTGATTCTTGGTAAAATACTATCACGAATTTTGCACGTTTTTGGTAGAAGAAAATATAGACTCCACCGCTGGCTTTTTTAAAAAAACGTCATAGACTTTGTAACTGTCTTTTTTTTTTTTGGGAGAATTGTCTGTTTTGCCCCTTTTGTTCATTCAATATATATATTTATTTATTCCATACTGAGGGTTAAAATAGTTTATGTCACAAAGAGCTACATTTATTTAAGTATTGTAGCTCATCGGCCGTCTTAAATTAATTGAATTAAATGGTGGTTTACAACAAAATGCTAATAAGTAACAAGTGAAAACTCTTCGGTATTCTGTTCAAAGGCTCTCGATTGTACAGGTCTTAGTTGAAAATAGTCTCAAATAAAGTTACTTGCTTTAAAAGTGTTTTTGCCTTTTTGTTGGTTAAAATAATCATGTTTCTTCTAGAGCTCGTCACAGGCTATCTGTTAGGGCTATAACCCTTCAAAAACATCTCAACTTAAGAAAACCCCAAGGGAGTTGGCGAGGCAGGGGGATGGGGGAATGGGGTGCAACACACCCCTACCATAACCAAGTTGAGGGTATGAATCTGCTTATACGTTCAAAGGTTAACTATGCGATTATTTATCTAGTTTGTCAAAGAGTCAAGTATTTACCCTGAGCGTCGATTCTAAAACAATTCCTGTTTACTGTCACATGGGAGACTTTGGATGTGGAGGAGGAGGATGGACGCTGGCCTTAAAGACGGACGGCTTGAAGGTACTAGAAAGTTTGGTGTTTGCAGCTCTCCTGACCGACGTTGTCAAAAAGCAGCTGGTTCTTTGAGATGGAGCGTGATAACATGCATTTAGAGCTGTGTTGCGACTTTACCTTTCGAACAGGAAAACAAGCAAAGCTAAAGCGCAATTCTTTCTTCTATACAGTTATTGTAAACCTAATTTTCTATCCAGTCTGTGATTTAGGAGTGTACTGATCGATCGCTTAATTAAACTTGCTAATATACGATTAGCTACCGTTCTATAACCAGTTTATGTGAAAAGACTTAAAGGTAGTCTATGACACATTAACCATCAAACTGAGATACGGACCGGCCTTTGCGCCTTCTACCTTGAGAAAATATGTTTGAGGACTAGGCCGCCCAATACAGTCAATGTACTATGCAAATTCATTAACTAATGAAAATTACAATTTGTTTTTCAGGGAACATTCCGCTTCAGTTCTCCACTTTGGAGTAACAGAAACCCATACAACGTTGCGGGTGGCAAGACAGGTTTTGACACTCAAGAAACAAAGTTACCAACCTACTGGAGTACAAGTTTTACCAAGATCTGTCTCGGGATGAGGATCGGAAATCAGATTAGGTTTGTTCTTCAAAATCAGACTGCCACCTCTCTTCACTCCCTCATCTCCGACGGAGCGTTCCGTGCAACCAGCCTGGGCCGTCATTCCTGGAAGGCGCTGATTGGTCCTCAGGGCTCCTTACAGCGCAACTGCAATAGAGAAGGGTTTAATGCTGTTTGCAGCGGAAAAAGTAATCCTTCCAAAACAAGAATCGGTATCCTTGGAAACAACCAAAACGACTGCGGCAGTTGCGAGTCCAGAATCGGATTCGGGATGGAAGGGGCGCCAGATGGTTCCATAAGATGTGGAATTGCGGCACGAAACAAAGCTGATAATGGGAAAAAGTTCATCAACACGTTTGGATACATCTTGGTTCAATAGAACAGATTTTATATTGCTTTAAACAATACATAGATTTAGCCAAGGCCAAAGCGGAGCTCTCGGATACCCTTTTTTGATAGCTGCCAGTTGACCATGTAACAAGGATGTCCAATACCAAGTTTTAACACAGGTAGTATTACATGCCTTGGACTGTCAGCGAGTATGACATTTCACAATTTCACATCCGCCAAAAAGAAAGGGTGACCGCACTTACATACGTAGGTACGGACGGACGGATTTTGTCAGAACCAAAATTGATTGGATGCATAGATAACCAAATTTTCTTACCCATGTGCTCAGCAGCGCGCGCGCGAGCTCCGCTAATAAAAAACAGACAAACAGAACAGTCATAACAACAATTACCAATTAGAAGTTCAACTAGAGTTCCTTCGAATATACAGTTCAAAGAGAATTGAACGGACGGCAAATTGTTGCTGCTCGAAATATCTAAAAGTCGTAACTGTTCATCGGTAGGATACCTAAAATGGGTGCTAAATTCCACAATTGGTTTGGCTCCATTTAATCCTATATCAATTGTAGAACATTTAAGCCACCAAAAACGTGAGCACAGTTACTGACGAGGTATATATACATATGAGTAAGTGAACAACCAAAAGAAAATGTAATGCAACTACGCATTCGCATATAATTGCCAAGAATCAAAGTTATTTTTTACTTATCATAAAGTGACAGCCTCCTAGGTCTGTATTTTACCAGATTATTTAAAGAAAGCCAGTCCTAATGATAGAGAATAAGACATGACAAATGATTATAAATCCTCGCCTACTGCTCCTGTTTCGTTTTACTATCTTTTACATACCAAGATATACTCATTGAAGTACTATATCGTAGTTTTTCATATGAAAGTGAGCTCGATATTTTTTAATGTGAGTAAAAAAGTGGTTCCAATCAGAATGCTGAATCGTGATGTTTTTGCTTGTTAACAAGCAATCATATAAGATGGAGATGACTGACAATCGCTAAAGATTTTTTTTTTTTACTTACAATGTTTCCCTTGATTATTTGCCAAAGACTTCGATAATGTGAACCATGGAATTTTATTTGGAAAACTTAAAAAATATGGAATACTAAGCGGCATCCCATTCCAATAGCTTATTTGTGATCTAATAAATGAACAACAATTTGTGGCCATAAAAAATGCTTATATCACCCTTCCAAATAATTGTCTGCGGAATTCCTCATGGCAGCAAATTCGGTCCTGTCTGATTCCTGCTACAAATTATAGACATGCCAGATTCCTCAAGTAAAACACTCTTTCGTAAATTTGGCTAATTAATAGACAGTTTGAAGACTGACAGCGAAGATGATAAAAGTGTCACTGGGTAATGAGTGACACGACATTTTGCTAACTAAAGATATAAAGGGAACACAACTTAACTATCAGGAACTTTAGATGTTTCTTCAAATCCACAAAAATTCTACTTCTCGAGATGTATTTTTTATAATTATCTAATTAGCCGCAAATATGAAGACAACGCGACCTTGCAATTGGCTTTGGTCCAAAACCCGCCAGAGGCTTATGTGCCTAAAAAGTCAATATAATTCATGGAGAATTATTTATAAGAGACAACTTCTGCTTTAATAGAGGGTTAAACGGACAGCGAAAACACACAGTATGGCCGCAAGTTTTACTCATAATAACATGCACCAGACTTTTAAAGCCAACACAAGTAAACTATCAGGCAAATCAAATGTTACTCTAGATCGACTCCAAATCCATTTCCAGTGAATATGTATTTCTCATTTGTTCTGCTTGGCCTTGTCACTGTTCCATTATTCGTGAACATCAGCAAACACCTTGCTGTTACAAGCCGCCTGTAAGTAATTGCAACTGTAAATGCAATGCAAATCAAGATTTGCCAGGGCTGAGAGTCTTATTGGATTGAACACAACAATACCTCTGACCTCGGTGATACCGTAAAATGTTTAGAGGCAAAGATGGAGGGTCTCTTTGTACTAATCAACAATCCTTTTTCTTGTCTGATCTCTTCCCACCGTACCAAGGACTCCAAAACCAACAAGTAATCTACAACAAAAATATGAGTTAATGTGAATTTTAAGTTTTCTTCCTTTGATTTTAATGTCAACCAAAATATTTTGAATTTTTGGTTATTAAAAGTCACAACAGCATCAGCTGCTTTCGTCTCTTCTTGCAAGGAACAGTAAGAAAAAGATAAGTAAGGGGCATTTTTGATTAACTTCTAGTTAAAAACCAGAGTCATTGTCTTATTTATTTCTTCATATATTTATGTTCGTTATTGATTCGTATACTGGTTAGAAGTATGTTTTTTTTAGTTTTATTAAGACACAGCATTATATTTTTGGGAAAATCGAAACAAATGCGACTCTTTGTAATGAGTTATCTTAACCCTAAATTGGTTTCCCCTGTGTGGAGTGGGTTAAGCAACCACCTGAACCAAATCACGTAATAAATTATTGATATTTCGTGGCGGAGGCTGCCTTTCCTAAGGATATCGAAGACTTTGAGGCACCGTAATCCTATACTGCTTTGGACATGAGCTCTGTAAAAAGTGCAAAATAAGTCTATTATTGACCATTATGTTTCGAAAGCAAAATAATTAGTTAACATAAACAGAACATTCGACGGAATAAAATGACAATCGCATTCTTTGCTAACTGACTGTTTTTTTTTTTAAGAAACGTTAGCGCCATTCTCCGAACCATCAATATCAGTGTTTTCTGACGTATCCCTCGATCTTAGCTACACACACATTATAATATGATGTATAGGTAAAGTATCGACCTCGGATCCAATGTCAGGCTAAAATGCGATCGTGAAGCTTACTAGGCAATTTTCGGTTTTGATGCTTTAATTAAGAGTCTTATATTGTAATTTTTGTTCGGGGACATTAGATTATCACATACTACTAACTCTTGAATTTGAATGTTGTGAGACAGTTTTCGTTGTAAGCCATGAGGAACAAAGGTGACTCTTTCAGTTTTTTCAGTTTAGTTAAGAAAGTTGAGGTGTAATGAAAATCGTTTAAATTACTAGACTTCATCGAGAAACTATTGGCCTTTACCGAAAAAGCAACAACAACAAATAGTCCAATGCTGCAGATGTAGCTTCGAGAATTTAGTTAAGAAAATATTTTAATTGATGCAAAGCAACAATCTTTTTCCTCTGCTACCTGTAATATAATCAACCCTTTCCTTTTTTTTTTTCATTGGAAAGGGACACTTTTTGTGGGTCCCGAAACCCAAGTTTAACCTCCATTCAGGGGACACCTTAGCACTCAAAAAGTGCCTGGCTACAAAATTATTGATAAGTGTACACTAGTCACAATATAAATGGCGACAGCAGGTTCAAAGCATAAACTATCTCAGTTTAATCGATATACTGCACTTGTGGGAATTTCGCAGAGATAATTTAATCACGTTTCTTTTTTTAAATATATATATTATCTTGCTGCTTGAAATAATTATTGCAGTAGATTCCGAGGCAGAATAAAAGGAGAATATTTTATTTGTTGTTTAACTATTAACAAACCCCAGCCCAACCTCCATTCAGGGGATCAAGGGACACTTGCCTTGGTCCCGACGGTGTCCCTTCAATGGTATTCAAGTTTTAAGTAAATACTACAACTAGAAATCGCATCCACTCCCTCTGTTTTTCCTTCCACCCACTATTCAGTGATGAGTGAAGAAAATTTCCATACGGAGTTGAGTAGAATTACAAATAACGACTATATCATATATATCCTAAGCTTTAATTATAGTTACAACTACGAAATAAGTCTTAACCGGACAATGTACACAGCTGATTCATCGATTGTGTACAGCAAAGAAAAAACTGTCTGGATACTGGGCACCTGACATCAATACTTAGTGAATGTTTCTGGCCTCTGTTAATCCAAACAAATCGAATTTCAAGAAGAATTAATAAACTTTCTGAGAACCTGAATTCTTTAAGTATCTCCACTTTAAATATAGAACAATTTCTTTGAAAATATCACATATCACCTACCCTTCTCTGAGCAGCACTAATTTTACTGCGCAGTAAACAGCGTAAATATTAGCCTTGAAAAGTTTTATCACCTGAACAGAACGGCGCCTTCTGCGACTGTTTCGTAAGCTTTAAACCCGCTAAAACTTTCATCTTAAAGCTGAAATGTTCAGCTTTCATTCGAAACACTTCGTTTACCGACAACTGAAAAGGGCGCCTCAAAAATGGCGTTTTTGTTTCAAGTGTCCGGATACTGGTACCGTCCGGATACTTGGCAACATACTGTATGTATTAAACAGTTACTGTCTTTTTGTAATGACAGCGGACGGAGGCTTTCCCAGTTTAATTTAGGTAAGGCCATGCTTTTGGTGAATAGCCTAGAAACTAAGCATTTTTTCATGCTCAACTTAAAAATTAGTGATGATTGAACAAATTCTATTTTTTGTCTTTAGATATCTTGACTCTTGTCATTTATGAGGTCATCAGTAGCGCGTAGCCATAGAAACCTCATGTCATCAATGTGGTAGCACGGAGGTTTTAGTATTAAGAACGGCATGCCATTTGTGGCTTAAAAGCCACAAATGCACTCATTATCAGACAACAATCGTGTTTTAAGTACTGTTTAAAAAAATAAGCGGGGGTGTATTATCAGGTTTAAAAACTCGAGGTGAAGCCGAGAGTGTTTACACCGACTGCGAATTTTTTGAACGTTTTCAAAATCTGTTATATAGATCAATTCATTTCTTGCACTAATATTTAGATTTGGAGTTATTTTGGTCTAAAAAATTGGACGTAAGGTTTAGAAGTGTCTTTATCAGATATAAAGACACTCACTAAACATTAATTTGTTTTGTTTTTTCGTTATGAATTATTAATGAGTTTCTGAAGTGGGACGAATCGATAGAAGGGATTTTCCCTGGTTAAGAGGAAATTGAACTGTCCATGATCAAAAGTGAAGGTGTTCTTATTACGAAGATACAATGAGTCTTTTTATCTTTTTGAATATGAATCC